TCCCTGGGGACACTGGATTCCCTGCCTGCCTCATGGGCTCAGACTCACAGAGACTAAATTTGTGTTCCCAAAAGTATACATGGCAGGATGGGGGAGGACACACAGGAGGGTTTATCCTCAATGGGGCATCCTTTATATTCATGAGAAGGTTCCCAGCCTCCCTTTCCCTCCACCCTCCCCCAGTTCTGGCAATGACTCCAGGATGACTGACTCGCTTTCTGAGGGTCCTGACAGGAAGCTGGACGTGCAGCTCATATGGGCGACCAGGGAGACATCCTGAAGCCTTGACGCCCCACTTCCTGGCTCTGGCAAATCACTTTGGTTCTGTGAACAAGAACTCCCCCCCGCCCTGCCTGGCCCACCTCTCGACCTCATCTGACCCTAGTGGGGGCTCAGAAATTCAATCCCAGAGGAGTTGGCTGAGTGGTAGTGTATTTGCCTAGAATACACAGGGCTCTGAGTTCCATCCCCAGCACCATACCGCTGAGAATTGAGAATTGAGTGCAGCTACATGGAACTCTAAACCCAAACACCAGCGGCTTAAACCATAATTGGCTAAAGCCAGAAGTGGGTGTTTCCTTCTTCTATCACATCATGGAAAGTCCAGAGGATAGCCGGTGGCAGGCGCAGCAGGCCTTGGCTGTTATCAGGGACCCTAGGACAGAATTCTCATTCAGATGCTTGCAACATGACTGCTGCTGCTCCAGCAATCATTTCTGCATTCTTGATTGGAAGAAAGAAAGGGATAAAGGGCAGGTGTCCTTTCCAAACCCTGGAAAAGCTATCAAAGATATAACCACTCCAATCTGAGAGAGGCCCTGACATGTTGGGGTTTAAAAAAAAAAAACCCATGCACATTGCTGTCACCAACAAAATTAGGTTCCATTGGTAAGGACTAGGAGAACAATGAATAGTGTCCCCACAGTCCACTCTTGAGCTGCATTCATGAGCAATGTTCACATTCATTTCCACTGAGGGATGGGTGGATGGATGGATGGATGGATGGATGATGGATGGATGGGTGGATGGGTGGATGGGTGGATGGATGGATGGATGATGGATGGATGGGTGGATGGGTGGATGGGTGGATGGGTGGATGGGTGGATGGGTGGATGGATGATGGGTGGATGATGGACGGATGGTGGATAGATGGATGGATGGAAGATGGATGGATGGGTGGATGGGTGGATGGGTGGATGAGTGAATGGATGATGGATGGATGATAGATGGATGGTGGATAGATGGAAGATGGATGGATGGATGGTGGATAGATGGAAAATGGATGGATGGAAGATGGATGGATGGATGGATGGGTGGATGGGTGGATGAGTGGATGGATGATGGATGGATGATGGATGATGGATGATGGATGATGGATGGATGGTGGATGGATGGATGGATGATGGATGATGGATGATGGATAGATGATGGATGGTGGATGGATGGATGGATGGAAAATGAATGGATGGAAGATGGATGGATGGATGATGGATGATGGATGCTGGATGGTGGATGGATGGAAGATGGATGGATGGAAGATGGATGGATGGATGGGTGGATGGATGGATGGATGATGGATGGGTGGATGGAGAGAGATACATAGATACCTGGATAGGTAGGTTATTGGTAGATAAATGATTTATTGATTATAGAGATAGATAGAATGATTAAAATGATAGATTAATAGATATAGATTAGATATTGATAGATTATATATTAATAGAGGTAAATACATAGAATGATAGATTGATAGATGATATAGATAGACAGGTGTGAGATAACAGATAGATACATAAATAGATAATGAAAGAAGAGGTGGGGGAGAGAAACAGATAATTAAAAATTTTATTTTAAGGTATTGGCTCACGTGGGTTGAAACCCCAAGTCTGCAGGGCAGGCACAGCTGGAAGCTCAGACAGGTATTGTTGCTGTGGTTGAGGTGAATTTCTTCTTTTTCAGGAAACCTCCATTTTGCTCATAAACCCTTCTACTGATTGGATGAGGCCCGCCAGCAATTGGGAGTAATTTCCCTCATTCCCAGGGAACTGGCTGCAGATGTCAGCCAGATCTACAAAGTACCTTCCCGGCAGCACCTAGCTTACAGTTTGACTAAACGCCTGGATTCTGTGGCCTGGCCAAATTGTCACATATACCTGACCAATAGGCAGGTAACAGGAAGCAGAGGAAGCAGCACTATGTGGGGCCAGAGGCTTGAGTTCAAGTCCTGACTGATAACCTGACTAGGGATGCCCTCCTTGCTTCTCTGGGCCTCACTCCTTTTTCTGGGGAGTTCTGGGCTTGGACGAGAGGGTCTCTGTGCTCCAGGCCAGGTGGGATATTTGTGGACATTGGGACAGTACCACGTACCCTTGTGTATCTCTAGTGTCCCAGCTCCTGTCTTAGTATGGGCCTGACAGTGATAACAATGAAGATGATAAAACAGTGCTGATGACAGTGGTAATAAATGATAAAAGAAACAAGTCATGACCAAGTCTGCCTTGAACCAAGCGCAGTAAAACCCATAGCTCTCTGTGTGCTGCATCCTGAAGCAAGCAGTTAGGCTGACCCCACTTCAGTTCCAAGTAGCCTCTGAGGTCCCAGTGTCCAGGCCCTCCAAATAAAATGTCAGAACGCCCAGCAACAAGTGGTATGTCCACTAAGATCAGAGTCCCAGCCGGGTGCCAGTGGCTCACCCCTGTAATCCCAGCTACTTGGGAGGCAGAGATCAGGAGGATCATGGTTCGAAGCCAGCCTGGGCAAATCATTCGCGAGACCCTATCTCAGGTGAAGTCCCTGAGTTCAAGCCCTGGTACCACCAAAAAAGAAAAAGATCAGAGTCCCAGCAAGAATTCTGTGATATTAGGACTCAGTACAGTAGTTTATGCATACTCAGAAGGTAGAGATCAGGAGGATTGTGGTTCAAAGCCAGCCCAGGCAAAAAGTCAGTGAGACCCATCTCAATTAAAAAAAGCATGGAGATTCATATCTGTAATCCCAGCTATACGGGTGGCATGAGTAGGCAGACCGGGCAAAAAAATAGTGAGAACTATCTGAAAAATAACTAAAGCAAAAAAGGACTGGAGTTGTGACTCAAGTTGTAGAGCACTAGCACAAGGACCTGGGTTCAACCCTCTGCACAGACAAAAACAGAACAACAAAAAATGTCCTCCTATATCAAATGGGAAAGGTACTAATTACACCTACCTCACAGAACTGCTGCAAAGACTACAAGAAGATGCTGTGTCTGAAACTCCCAGATTACTTATGAACTCCCAACTGTGCCGTGTGGCTTGGTAAATCTATGAGGTTTTTGTCATTGTTCGTTCTGTTTTTATGACCAAACAGGCCTTAGAATAGGTAGACTGAGGCTCACATATACGTTCCAATAACTGGATGGGGAAAACATATCAGATCCACAAAGGTCCAGGCTGCGGGGCCACAGAGCACGGGAAAATGGGGCTGGCCAAAATGGGTGGAGAACCAGGGAAGCTCAGTCCCCGGTTCTCGGTAACTGGGTTCCCTCTCAGTCTCACTTTGTGACGCTGATTATTCAACTTACAGACATTTGCCCGGTGCCAGGCACCATGCAGGCCTGCAAGAGGCACCGGGCCCCAGAGGCAAGAAAGCCATTGTCCACACCTTCGTGGGACAAGCAGGTGAGGCAGAAGTGACGAATCTGGTAGACTCATAACACGTGATGTCACAAGAGCTGTGGCAGAGCCCATCATAGCACTCGGGAAGCTGAGCGTGCCTACTACGTGCCAGGCGCGCACGGCGGTGAATTAAATAGTCACACCTGGCACGACATGCCCGCCTGGTCTTCGGGTCAGGCGCTGAAAGAGAGAATGGAGAAGGCTGAGAGAGAACCGCAGGTGCAAAGTGCTCCTGGTGTTTAGAGGGCACCTGCTGGGGTTCAGGACAGCGTCCCCGAGAAAGAGCTGCCCATGGGCAGAGTGTTCCAGGGTTGCCAAGAGCCAGGCAAAGAAAGGCGAGGCTGCCAGGCCAGTGGCCAGAGCAACCGGGTAGGCTGGAGAAGAAAGAAGGGTCTGGATGGTGCTGGGGCCTCAGAAGCCAGGAGAGAGCTTCGGCCTGGGTCAGAGCAGCCACAGAAAGCTGTGCAGCAAGACGCTGACATTGTCCCCTTTCATCCATGTGCACTGGTGTGTGGAGCCAGAGAGAGGAACAGCTGACACCAAACGGAGTTCAGAGATCCGAGGGCAGCAGAGGCAGAACCTGGCAGTGACCCACAAGCACCCTCACCCATCCCGGTCCACGTCGGCTTTGTTTGCATCTGTCTGGCCACGCTGGGGAGAAGGGGCAGCTGGGGTGTGCGGCTGGCAAGGTCTAGGCAAGGAATGGTGATGTTCTTAGGTGGTGGCAAGGTGGGTAGAGGAAGGACGGACCCAGAGGTGGCTGGGAAGGTGGGACTGGAGTAGACAAGAATGACCTAGGCAGGTAGAGGGACACCTGGCCAGCTGAGGAGAAGAGAAATGTGGATGGCTTCCTAGAAGAGGGAGGTGCAGGCTGAGCATCACGGTGTCAGCCAGTGCACTTAGGAAGGGGGTGGGGGGCTCTCCTGTTGGGGCTCTGGACAGGGGCAGCGAGGCAGGGACAGCTGTGTTTGTCCCCCAAGTGACCCATGGGCACCAGGGGCTCCCAGGATTGAGGAAGGGAAGCTGGGCAGGAGAGAGACTCAGGTACTGCACTTGCAGTGGCCCTGCAGAGCTGTTTTCTGTACCCCAAAGCAAAGTCATGATGCCAGAGATGGAATGGTGGGTGGCACTAGCAGTGAAGGTGGGGCAGGTGCTGGGGAGGATGAGGTAGTTGTGGAGCAGAGACTGAGACAAGAGGAAAAGGACCAAGGTCCCCTGGCAGGCTCAGGGGACAGTCCATAGCAGGCTGGGTAGCAGCGAGTGACCTAACAAAGCCACCTGCTGAGCCAGGGTTCTGGGATCTGGGGTCAGTCCTGCTCAGGTCTCCTAGCAACTGGATGCAGGGCCATGGCACTCCTGACACCCCAGGGTGTGAAGGAAGTCTTCCAGTTTCAGGTGAGGAGAATATAGGTTTTTAAGAGGAATTTGCTGCCAGTGCTCCCACCATGGGGGTGCTGGAAGAGGCTGGTAGACGGTGCCTCTTCCAGGGCGCACCTGGACTTCCACCTCTGTCCTCACATACCACCCCTGTGACCACACTGGACTCCTGTGGCTAGAATTCAGCCCCTGCAGCTTGTGGCTGTTTTTTAGCCTGCACGAGAATATGGGGGACAGCCCTTGGTGTGGCAGAACCCACCTGGGCCCTGTGAGTCCTCCATAGTTGGATGCTGGGGAGTGTGGGGAGCAGCTCCTGCTGATTGTGGGGCTGCCTGGGGCAGGCAGAGGACAGTGACATGGAAGAGGAGTGACATTAGAAACTGGTGACAGAGCTCTGGGCTCCTTTGGTCACCAGGTCCAACGCTGGTCCCCTCAGGGTCCCACCAGCCAAAGCTGTTCTCCCCAGGGGGTAACAGTCCTACATTACCCCCTCCTCTTAAGTGTCATTTCCTTCTCCTACATGACCTGGTCACCTATAGGAATCCTTCTGGAAGGGTGAAAATGATTCTTACCTGTACATGGTAAGTCTTTTCCTCTTAGCCTGCCAGAGTACTTGAATTTCCACCAAGTGAGTGTTTCCTCACCCAGCCTGTTCTCCATCAGTCATTTACACTTTAGTATGAATTTCCTTATCAGCTCAAGAGAGCAGCTCGTTGAGAGGAGTCTCAGAGAAAAATTGAATTTTGTTTTAGGGAAGAGAGAGGAGGGACCATGAGGCCCTTTGGAGGTACACAAACCTGGGCTGCAGTGATAGCATAGTTCTCAGAAAAAGTCCCCAGTAAAGGAGGGCTAGCTGCCTAGAAACCAAAGTTTAATCCTGTCCAGGTGAACCCACGTTTCCTGGTTACCCCAGGGGCTCCAGCATGGCCCCCCGGTAGCATCTTATTTCTCCTCTCGTGCCCAACAGAAACCCCAAGGCCGGGAGCACCTGCGGAGGCTCCTGAACTGGGAGGCGTTTGACGAGCTGAGGGACGCACGTAGCAGCATTCTGCTGGACACGCTGTACGAGACTGTCATCTTCGCCGTGGGCAAAGGCTTCCCGTGGGCCGAGGTGGTCCAGGCGGTCAAGTTCACCGAAGAGCTGCTCAAAGAAACCAAAGGTAAGTGGACCTGGGTAGGAGTCGGTGAAGCTGGGGTCACACAGGAGTCCTGAGCCGCCAGCCCAGCAGCCCTGGAAGGAGCTGTCCCTCACCGGCACTTAGTCTCCTTGGGGGCTGGACAGGAGCCCGTGCAGATATCCATGAGTCCTTGCTGACTCTTCCCGGGTCTGTCCGGCTGCCAACTTCATACCACTAAGCTGGGCCCCTGGCAGCTAGGGTGTTGATTTTGTTCTGTTTGTTCTGCTTTCACTTAACCCCAATCAAGCATGTCACCCCTGCTACCCTGAGGCAATCGGCTGGTCCCTTAGGAGTGAGGCACAGGTGAGGCATCTGCATGGAGATCCCTGTCTCCCCACCTGTGCGGCTTTCAAGAGAAGGGGGCCAAGACACAAGGGTCAGATGACATCTGTCCACCTCGCTGGCTGTGAAAAGGAGAAAAGCGAGCACCGTCCATGGAGCACTCATCAGCAGCTGCGATCACAGGAGTTCTTGCCTCCGTGAGAGCTGCCCAGAGGTGCCACAGCTCAGAGAGTCCCCAACAAGGTGCGGCACCTGTCTAAGGACCTCCCTCACGGTGTCTTATGGTGACCAAGGGAAAAGGATACTTGGCAGTGAAGAAGCACAGACGCCTCCTTAAACAAGTGATCCTGGTGACATCATTAGCAAGAGGTCACCAGCATCCTTCAAGGAGGACACCAGTACAGACTTGGTCTCCATCTATCGGGAGAAGCCAAATGGGACGGTGCTCAGTGTCACCATCCTATAAACCTCAGACGCTCGAAGCCATGACAGCACAGCAAAACCAGGGGACGGTCAGACCAATGGAAGAGGCTGAGGAGTTGTGACCACCTGACACGTCAGGTGGCCCAGGTTGGGTCTCTTTGCTATGGAGGTTGCTGGAGGAAAGGGTGAAACTAGAGCAGGGTTGGGATTAGATGGTGATGGTGTGACAAGGTGAGCGCTGGACTTGGACAGTCAGGTTAGGACTTTGCTTGAGGAGATGCCAACAAAATGACCCTGGGGTGGGGTGGCCATCATGAGGACACTTATCCTAAGCAGACTTGGGGAATATCTCCAAGTATCCATGCAACTTTTCTGCTTTCCACGTATTTTATTTTGAAATTATCTCTAAAAAAGTCCAATAAACTGGACGCCGGTGGCTCACACCTATAGTCCTAGCTACTTGGGAGGCTAAGACTGGGAGAACTGAGGTTCGAGGCCAGCCTTGGCAAATAGTTCATAGGCCCCCATCTCCAAAATAAACACAGCAAAATGGACTTGGAGGTGTGACTCAAGTGGTAGAGCACCTGCTTAACAAGTGTGAAATCCTGAGTTCAAAGCCCCAGTCCCACCAAAAAAAAAAAAAGTCCGATAAGATTTTTACAATACATGGGTCGTGAGAGGTCCCTCTCTGGCTTTCTAGTCAAGGACACAGGCTGCTTGATGCTCCATCCCCAATGCACAGTGCCCTGTCCCAATGCACGGACTCGGAGGCCCAATGTCTGTCCCGAGGTGCGTGAGCTCATTCAGTGCTGTCACCTCAGCATCATCGCAGCTCGCTATCACCACAGCACCTCCATCCTCTGCAGAGTCCCTTGCTGCAGGCTGCTTTCCAGGGGCAGAATGCCCCATTGCACCCTGTGGGGGCCAGTCAGTGTTCCCATGGCCACCCTGGTCCTTGGTCAACCTTTCCAACCTCCTGCCCACGCTCCCTGCTGCCCCATCCCCCTGCTATGTGCCCACCAGGGGTCTCAGCTAAGGGCTTGGGCAGGACTTGGCACTGTCCTGGAGAGCCTCCACCCCTCCCTCCCCAGCCCCACTGCCCAGACCTTTCCTGGTATCCCTCTGGGTCCCACCTCCCGCCACAAGCATGCACCAGAGTTGAGTCCGCCAGCTCCGCGGTGGCCCATGTCCAGAGCAAACACTGAGACATGGGAAGCAGCACATCAGCCCAGCAGGTGGGAGCCTCGGGTCTCAGAGCCTTCTGAAGGCTGTGACCTGAGAAGCTGTGGGTGACAGTGTGAGCCCATCTCCCAGCCCAGATGGGTGGCCTGGGGGCTTTCTGTGATGGAGGTGGCGGGTGGCACCTTGCTGACCCAGAATGGCCAGGTCTCTCAGACTCCCTAGACCCCAGAGTTGGAAGCAGCCTGGTGAGCAGCAGGCCTCCCACCCCTCCTGCGGGGAACCCCTCACCAGGTCCACGAGGCTCCTGCAGAAACAATCCCTTCCTTTGCACAGCCCCTCTCCTTACTAGGAAGTCCTTCCTTTGGTCTAGCCTGTGCCTGCTTGTACACCTTTTAAAAGTCTGTCTTCTGGAAGCAGGTGTGGGTCCTGAAGATATTTATCAGGCTTTAGACACTGTGATGATTTCATCTTCACCTTGGGACGCTGTGTCACTAGAACCTGCTGTCATTGTTAATCTGCCCCTTTCCATGGACCCCTCCACCCCACCTCCTTTCCACTGCCCCCTTTCTTCTTCCCACTCCAAGCCATCCTTGTGTTTGTGAATATTGTTCTTAAAATATGCCTCCAGATCAAACCACCTGTGATCTGGTAAGTGATAGGATCAGGAATTTTATCACCTCCTCTGTACTGGTTGTGATGCTCCTGCTTATACAGCCTGGGAGTGCACTGACTTTATAGCATCGGGTACACTGATTTCACACTGGGCTGGCAGTGCACTAAACCACTGAATCATCTTCCCGCCCTGCCTCACGCAATGTGTGTGCAGGCTTTACGGTCATCCCCACCGACACCATCCGGTTCACGTGGCTCCTCTTTTCTTCCTCTGGTCTTCTCCATCTTGTTCCTGGGCCATCCAGCTCACAGGCTCCTCTCTTGCTTCATCTGATATCTTGTGACATACGCTCATCACAAATTCCAAAGAGGATCAAGCTCCTGTGTGGGCTCCCCTCACCTGGAGCCTAACTGGCTGAGACTCTGGCAACAGATGGAAGAGGCAGACCCCAGCTCGTCCCTTCCTGGATGTGTGGTCTCAGGCAACTCGCGTCACCTCTGACCCTCCGTTTACACATCTGGAAATGAGAAGCAAGAGCGCCCATTTCCAGGGACTGTTGCAAAGGTGAAGTGCATTCTGGGTGTGCAGCCCCCAGCATGGTGCTGGTGCCATGGGATCAATGCTTAGTGAGTGGTGGCCTTAACTTCTGGAAGGAGATGGCAGGAAAAAGACAGGAGTGGGTTTGTGATTCAGAAATGTGGCGTGGACAGGTGTGAGCCACATGGATCAGGCACACGTGTACAGGAGTTGAATGAACCTTTTGAGGACCAGCCCTGGGGGCAGTGGACATCGGGCCAGGCCCTTTTCCTCAGTGGCTACATGGATGCAGTGGCTGGCTGGCCTGGCCCAGCAGCCGCAGGCAGGTGGGCAGATGAAGAGAACAGCAGAGTCATCCCAGAAGACGGGGAAGAGGGAAGCTGCACCAGTGTCGCTTCCTGGAGCTGCACGTGCCAGTCAGGGTGATGGGCAGCTGGCCCAGGTGGCACCCTCAGCAGCAGCAGGTACATGCTGCCACAACACACTGCAACCATGGGACACTCAACGTGAACCAGCTCCGAGATCCCTCAGGGGCAGAGGCCAAATTGAGCTGCTGCTTCCTTGGCACCCCAGACTCTTCTTCATCCTGACTGCTCTTTGTCTGTGATCACTTCGTCTCAGGCTGGGCTCTCAAGATTTCTGGAGTCCGGGTCCCAATCTTAGATCTGCTCTTTCTTTGCTGTGTGACCTTGGGCAATACCCTCAACATCTCTGTGCTTCATGAGAACTCACCTATAATATGAGAGCTCATGGGGCTGACGTGTTCATTTGCAGAAAACTAGTAAATGTGCAGTGGAATAAAATGTTATCACACTGTCCCAACCTGGGTTTCAGGTGCCCACCCAGACCCACTGTCAGAATTGCAGCCTCTCTATTGGACCCGCCACACATCTGCAGGTGCAGGCAGCCCCACAGCTCTGGCTGTCCCCACCTTTGCTAGTGGTTCTGCTCCAGTTCTGCCCAATACAGCCCCAATCTGGACCGCCATCTTCCCTCCCCAACTAGTCATATCTCAGCCACACCACCCAGGTGTGGACTGGGTTTGGATCATAATCCCAAAGGTTGAAATGTCACCAACTAAAAACTAAGGTAATTGTGTACACCCAGCTTTGAACTAGGGGCATTTGAAGTTCCACAATAGGCAGCCTCTGACTTTCGATGCTTATCCAGTTGCTCAAGGAGCCGAGATCTCGGGACAAGTTCTCTCTCCCAGATGCAGATGTGTAAGAGGGACATCTCTTCAGCGTCTACACACGCAGGCGCAACACTGACACACAAAGCTGACAGTGTCACCATGCACATTTGCGGACTCGCTCACAAAAACAAGGCATCAAATGAACTGGAACTCTCAAAGTCTTCACCCAATTTGCACCTCCAGTATTGGAAATGACACAAGGATGGAATACATAGCACGGTGAACTGTAAAACCAAATCTTCAAAAGCATGGTGGGAACTAAAAAAAGAAGAAGGAGGAGAAGAAAAATTTAAGAACTGAAAGAAAAAGTGTACGAGCTGGACGACTTCACAATTGCTGGCTATGTTCTGAATCCCTTGCATCCCAGAGCGTGGCCAGTCTGTTCTTTGAGAACACGGCTCCCCTCAGGGAATTCGTTCTCACTTTTTCTACAAGACACTGCTTTTTTTGAAATTCTTCTGGGATTCGAGGGTCTACATTTTCCCACCTTCTGTACTGCGTCTCGGGCACACGGGAACCTATCCCGCACACACCCACGTTCAGACCACGACCTGGCGATCGAACAGCCACACCCTGGCATGGTTTCTTATCCTCCCTGTACATAATTATTTTTGAACCAGTTGGTAACTTCTCTGGCTTTTTCAGGCAAACGTGGCTTTAATTCATTAAAAGCTTCTGGAATTTCATTAGCTGGAAGGAATGCCAATGCAGACAAAGGACGCATTGTAAACGCAAGTTGTCACTGTTGCC